TGTCCCACAAGAGTGTCTTACAAGAGTGTCCCACAAGAGTGTCCCACAAGAGTGTCCTATAAAAGTGTCCCACAAGAGTGTCCTACAAGAGTGTCCCACAAGAGTTTCCTACAAGAGTGACCCACAAGAGTGTCCTACAAGAGTGTCCCAGAAGAGTGTCCCACAAAAGCGTCCTACAAAAGTGTCACTTGGACATATGTAGTTTTTCGAACGTGTTTGCATTCGGGTTCGTGGGTTCCATCTTGTGGCTTGGCTGCTTTGAGCCACCAAAGTGCATGGTTGGCGAAGGCACCCCAAGGACACTGTAACTTCCTGCAATCGCTTCGTGCCAACCCTATGCACGCGCCTGCGCCTGCCCAATTCAGTGATCTTTTGTTGAACCTTTTCATTTTTTGTTTCCATGCCCTATTGACAAGGACGAGAAACATCTGTGCAGGAGGCGCGTTCCTTTTCAGGAAAACTGTTTCCTGTTCACCAGTAGCTGGCGAGGCCCGCCTAGGTAAAACCATCGAAAGCAACCCTGAACTGTGGCGGGGCTTTTGAGCGTTTGGTTCGCCCTTGGTTTGGTTGCAGCGAACATGGTTGTCCAAGGCGGAACCTATGAGTGAAAACTCGAAAAAGAACAGCAGAGGTGGGTCAAACTTAGTTCGTGATGCTGGAGGTTGCGGTTCCCACGCCAACGCTTGGGAGAGGAAAGGGTTCGGATTCCTGGCGAGTCGGCGCTGGAGGAGTTTCAGGAGACAGGGGTTTGGCCGTGGCGGGGGGGGGGGGCGCATTTGCATGGGTGATATCAAGTGCCACTTTGCCAGAAAGGGCGGGATCTCCGCTTTTCCTTTCTTTGTGACCGTCCTGTGGCGCACAACTTGCAATTGCACCTCTTCGTTCTTCAAGTCTCAACTCACCGCATTGGGTTGGTAGTTCAACCCCTTGCTGAACGGTAGTTGCCCTGGCTTCCCAAACCAAATCTTTCACTCGGGAAATCGTCCGGGAACTTTCAACAGCTGTTTCCAAACTGTTCCAATGATGTTTTGCTGAAAAGTTGCTGTGGCGGGATGTAACTGGAGCGTGCCGAACTCCGTTACCAACCTCCAGACAGGTAGTTGCGTCCTTGCCCTTCATCGTTTTCAGACGGTGGAAAATAAAACGCGAAACGCAAAAATGTTCCTGATTCCTGAATTTGCTGGTGCCCCACGGACGATGTCGCAGGCTATGCCCCAGGGCTCTCTCATGTGATACGAGGGACCGCTGAAAGTGAGAATGCCAAGACCTCACTGTGACACAATCGTGCGTCACCACCGTTTTACTCCAACTACCATTTTAACAAAAACTCCTCCCAACGGCGGCTCAGATCCGGGTTCGCGCGGCGCCTCCCAAGCGACAGTTCGCAGAAAAAAAGTGGATGCCTCAATGAAAAGGCATTGCCAAACACTGAGGCGGAGAGAAGATCACAAAGTGGAACGTGATGATTGGTTTTGAGGGGTTGAGCAGGTCCGACTCTTTAGTGCTTGTACTTTAGGCTCAATTTTTTCGCGGCTATGGTGGGATTTTTAGGACGGTCCCGGGAAGGGTAGTTGTTTTTGGACCCCGCCCCACTCTGCGACCTAAGTGTGGGTGACATTAAGGTGCGAAGCTTGTTTGGGGAAAGTGCACCGACAAATTGACACCTATATAAATGTGCGAGAGCCGGTGCCTGGCCAAAATGTGGGGTGATGAATCTTCGCAGCCCACTCAAACGTCATTAGGCATGAACCACCGCTTGATCAGGGCCTGCTGAGTGAAGAGTTGGAGTTGGCGTTAGGACGAAACGTTGGCCAAGGACCAATGAAGTCGCAGATGTTTTGGTTGCCAGCCCTTGCCGCCTGCCTCTGCGCGGCTGATGGCGTTTCACCTCCAGCCTGGTGTCAACTCACGCATTTTCACTCGGACTCGCTGCTCCTTTGGCTTCGGGTAGCACACACCGTCAAGGTCAGACGGCAAGGTTGCGAAAGGGGCACTGAGGGAGATAGGGGGGGGATTGGCCGTTTGGTCAGCAAGGCTGTTATGGTTAATGAGGGCTAAAATTGGGGACCCCGAGGAAGGATCGCATCGGCTGGCCAGTGGACTTCCACTGATTGGGCAAACCAAAACGGTGAGGTTGGGGGCGTAGGTCGGTGTGGTGACATTCTATGGAGCAGGCGAAAAAAGGCAAGCAATGCATTACTGCACGCGCACAACATTTGAGTAAAAGACTATGCTTCAAGTATGAGGGGACTAAAGGCAAACATTGAGATACATCCCTAAAAACGCAGGAGCAAGCATCAAACGCCACGAATTAGACAAGGAACAATTATTAGGACAAACCCCCACAACATCCGGCCTCGAAATTTTTTTGGCCAAACGGCAGGCCGGCCCGCCAGCGGACAAACGTTTTCAGGGCAGCAAACCTGGATGTATGAAAATTGGTGACTAGACAGCAAGTGATCACGAAAGGTAACGGTTACGCTACCAGATCCTTTTTTTCTTCAGAAAAACTGAATTATATCCAGAGTGGACACCCATGTCACTGAGAATTGTCTCCCAACATTTCATTTTAGAGGCCGGGGGTGGGCCCTTTCAACTCCACCCTGGCGCGGCTCTTTGTCAACGGCCGCAAAAAATCATAAAAACAAATGTTTTCAGCCCCTCCAGTCTGCAAAAGTGGCCTCAAACCACGCAATTTACGGGGTTTTCTGTGGCCATCCGGCCAAAAACCTCGTAAACGCCGACGGTTTTTGAAGTGTCTAGGCTTCAAAAGTGGCCGAAAAATTGCCAAAAACCTGGAAAATGTTTGTCGAAACGTTTTTTCCGGCATTTGGAGGGTTCTAAACGGCGCAAAACGACGGTATTTACAGGGCTTTGTGCGCCTTCGCCCGTAAATTGTGATGGTTTTGGGCTATGTACGCTTCAAAGTGGAAAACACCGTAAATACAATTGACAATTGTTTTCAGCTCCTCCCGTCTTCAAAAGTGGCCTCAAGCCACGCTATTTGCAGTTCTCTTTTGTGGCGGAAAGGGTTTTTCGGCGCTTGGAGGCTTCAAAGTTGCACAAAACGACGGTACTTACACGGGTTTCCTGGCACAAAACTCCGTCAGTTGGGATGGTTTTAAGCTATGTACGCTTCAAAGTGGCCACAAAACACCGTCAACTCCACCCTGGCGGGGGTTTTTGTCAACAGCGACAAAGCACCGTCAATACCAATGTTTTCAGCCCCTCCAGTTGGCCAGAGTGGCCTCAAACCACGCAATGGGCGGGTTTTCTGTGGCTGTCCGGACAAAAACCTCGGTTATTGAAATGTCTGGGTTTCAAGAATGGTCGAACAGTACTCGGTGCTTCGAAAAGTGCCTAGGCTTCAGTACTTTCTACCGAGGGCTTCTGTTCAAACAGGGGGAGGGGGCCTGACCTCCTCCAGGCTTACGCCTGATTCCCTGCTACCTTTCGTTCAGCCCCTCCTCTCTCAAGTTTAAATTACGCAGCCGGCGCCATGGTTGTTCATGTTGAGCACCGCCATAGTTTGTTTGCTTTCAGAAAGGCGGTCAATTCGAGTCACCCACGCTCGTTCTAACTTCTTGGTAATGTTGTGTGGCCTGTTCGGGATTGTCATGGCCTGGAACAGCCGCAATCCCACAAACCATTGGCGGAGCAAGACAGGAAAAAGGGACGTGCTCTGAATTTATTGTCGTGCAACAAAGCCATGGGAATGGAAAACATTTCAGTGTCATCTGGTACTTGTGCCACCTATCAGCTCACGCCAAACAAAGTCAAAACCATCCAAAGCCAAGGCAGTGCAGCAAAAGGTAAATCCAATCCAACAATTGCAGTCCAAGATGTTTGGGATTTCGCACGCCATGTGGCAGCTCTATTTCTTGTGGACAGTGGAGGGGTCTTGGTGCCAAGCCCTCGACAATACCTGCAGTGGGCAGCGCCACAATCTGGTCAAACAGGCGTGATGGAGAGTGATTTCCGCAAATTTAACTTGAACAAGTCCAGTTTTTTTCTGGGATTCGATGGTGCCAGTGTCGGACAACGTTTAGTCATTTGCGTTCGACTGGAATGGCCAGGTGCCGCCAACTCTCAACGGCAAGGGGAAACCTGCACGCTTTTTGGATTGGGATGGTGATGGCGACACTGATGCTTTGGTCAAAGACGGAGACGGCGGGATTTGGCTATATGAACGGCTCGCCAACGACACTTTTGACAAACAGGCGCTGGTGATGTTCACACCTGTGGAAGGGCAAACGCAAAGTGGTTTTGAAGTTGTTGATTGGAACAGTGACGTGGGCAGTTTTAGGTCGATTTTATTCATTTTGTTGTTGGGTGGGTAGCACTTTGCGTGGACACAAACGACAAAAGCCAAGGTGACGGGGAACTGGACCTCCTGCACTGCAAAGTGGTGGAAAACATGGTGACAGTGAGTTTCTTGAGGCGTTCGTTTTTTCATGGTTTTCCGGCATTGAATGAATCGAACTTCGAAACAACCGTGCTGTTGACGAATGGGTCGCGATGTGAAATGCTTGCCGTCGATTTTGATGAAGATGGTGATGTAGACCTCATCCTTGGTGAAACGGTGAGGAGGTGGCAATGGAAGTATGGCAGGTATTTTGAACGCGTTGCCGCCCAACTGGTGGAACGAGTGGGCCTAGAGAATCCTTTACTAAGATTTGGCACTGTACTGGCAATGGCAGACATGGATGGTGATGGGCGTTTGGAGGTGTTGACGGAAGGTTGGGTCTCAGCTGGTTCGCACTCCAGGGACGTTCGTTTCAATTACTTTCGCCGTGCTGCCGATGGTAGCTTTGTGGAGCCGGCTGACAACCCTCTCGCCGACATCAAGATCGTTGAGGACCTGATGGAAAGAAACGAAATAGCAAGTGCTCAAACGTACGAGCAGTGAAAGGGAATGTAGCAGTCTCCCAACGAAGCTGGAACCGATTGATGCCCGAGTTGAAGCTGGAACCGATTGACGCCCGAGTTGGTCTCGCTTGTCTCCCGGAAATATGTAGTTTGTTTTGTACGAGTAACCTCATCAACATTTATCATTCATCCTGACAAAGTGGACCCGACGACCCCGGGAATTTAGGCCCAAGTGGGCAGGTGAAAACCGTGTTGCGCCGCGTTGCATGGTAGGGGAGCCCCGATCGTAAGAGCCGGGGCCCGCTAGGCACTACGACAGCCACAACGTGGCCACCACCTTCACTGGTGGGAGGAAACCCTCGTGCAAAGGGCATCTGGCTCTGCGAACTTGTGACAGGACGTGCAGTTGCAGTGACTTGTCCCCGCCTGGTTTTTTCTGCATAAGGGCGTGGGTGATGCCGCTCTTTTCCGGGTGCGTTCCCCTCATGGGCCTCTGAACCCTTTTTGCAAGTCCCTGCTTCCAACTGCTGGCGCAAGCCGTGGTTGCCTGGACGGCTGGGGCGTTAGGTTTTTGCCAATGCCGCCCAGGTTGAGGGACTTGGGTGGCCCCTTCTCCTGCTAGGTTTTCTCCGCATTGGTGCCTCTTCTGTCTGTCTCCCTTGTACAGTGTTGGGCAGGGGTGCCAGTGTATCTAGTTGCGCCACTTTTGCGCTTTCCCCCAGGCTTTCATGGTCAGCCCAAGGTTGGCCCCCGGGGACTTGACGACCTTCTATAGGTATTATGTAGTAGGTGTATACTGTAGACGGGATTGATTTCAATCCTTGGGGACAAAGAAACGCTGTTTTCATTCGGTGATCTTGGAGGGTGAATTTTGTATTGGAAAGGTGAAGTGGGTGAAACCAGAGAGAGCCACCAAAGCACCCGTTCGTGACGAAGGAAAGAAGAGGAAAAAACAACAATTCGAGAAGTGACTGTCGTGGTCCCTAGCAAGTGGTCCTTTTTGGCAAGGCTCGAATTTAAGCAAGAAGAGATCCAGGGAGACAAGATCAGTGCGTTGGTTGCGCGGTGGAGGTTCTGGGAGCTGGCAACCTATAGTGGGCAGAGCTTCGCAGAGCAACATGGTGAAGGAGGAGCAGAGTGGAGCGCCAGGAGGTTCTATCCAAAGCTTTGGAAGATCGAGGCGATGGCGGAAGAGAGTTTGAGACTCATCTCAACAGCCTTGGAGAGGCTGCAGGTGACACAAAGCACTCAGGCCTGGTCCCGGCATTTGAAGACACCAAACGACACACGTGACCACGAACTCAAAGGATCGCTCCTGGTCCCCGCTGACATCCCCACCTCCAGCCGCCTCCCCTCCTGACAACGGGGCTTGTGGCTTGGACTTGGCACCAACCGCATGGCTTCTTGCTCCCGGACTGTCAGCGCGAGAAAAACTTGGGAGACAAAAAAACATGGAGCGATTGGAAGTTTTCCTCTTGCAACTATGTGAGGGGCATGGACCCTGCCCTTGCAGCAGCTTTGGGTGCTGTGGAGGAAGACCTCAATGCAGACTATGCTCTTGACGACATGTCTGAGGAGATGCAGGGCATGGCCATCAGGCTATACAGTTTGCTGACATCCTACATGAGGCAACGACCATTGAAACTGTTTCGCCATATGAAACAAGAAAATGGGTTTGCGGCATGGCACTCACAGGGCAGACTGTGGTGGTGGGGGCACTTCAAACACCACGTCGGTGAAGATGGTGCGCATTACTACACCCCCTGATGCCCCATACGGTGAGGTTTTTGACTTGACTACGCCCCGGACAGCTGCAGACAGTGAGCGGCACCCATGCAAATGGTGAGGCTGGCTGGGATTATTGAGCGATCAGACCAGTCAGTTGAGTGTGGAAGTGAGGAGCCAGAGGATGAAATGTTCTATGATTGCTTGGAACCAACAGTCTGGGCACTTCAAGGAGGCCCCATCGTTGCACTGGATCTACAACAGGTGGAAACTGAAGAGACCGCTTTTTACATGATCCAGATGGTCAGCGTGCCAGAAATGGAGGAAAAAAAATGCCAGGTGACGCTCGACAGTGGAGCTGACGTGTGCCGTGCTATTCCCACCATTCCCGTCTTCTATATGCGGGCGAAACCATCGCTTCAACCTGCGGAGTGCAACAGGGCGATCCCCTCGGCCCTTTGCTGTTTTCCCTGGCGCTTCAGCCGGCTTTGGTTGCGGCCCGTGGGCACTGCGACGTGTGTTTCGCGTACTTGGACGATGTGGTCATGGCTGGGGATGCAAGCCAACTCGCACAAGGCCTCCAGGCTTTGCAACATGTCACGTGCAACATCGGGCTCCAGCTGGAACCATCGAAATGTGAACGGGTTTTCCTCGGCGATCACGCTCCTCCCGCAATGCTCCAGCTTTTCCCCACCGGGATTGGGGTCAACACCACGGGCAACTTTTCTTTCTTGGGGGCGGCCATTGGAAATGAGGCATATTGCAATCGCCACACATTTTCGACACGAGTTGAGCCGGCCAAGCCATGCCTCCAAGCCTTGGCCGATCTCCCAGATGCCCAGACGGCGATGCTCCTCCTCCGGCATTGCCAGTCTCACGTCAAACTCACCCACGCCATGCGGGTCACGCCCCCTCACGGCCATGGCCCAGCGCTTCGAGCCTTTGATGAGCAGGTGCAAGCCTGCCTCGAACAAATTGGGGGGCTGCCCTTGACCCAGAACACCTGGCTACAAGCCAATCTCGCTATCAAAGCTGGCGGGCTGGGTCTTCGCAGCACTGCCTTGCATGCCCCTGCGGCCTACATTGCGTCCATCACCCATCTTGCTGCCTCGTGCACGGAGCTTGACCCTACCTATCGGGTGGTGCCTCCCCCGGTCCACCAGGCTTTGACCTCATACAACCAAGTTGTTTTGCCTGAGGACCAAATCCACTCGTTGGCCCCGTCCTACCAACAACGGGACTTGTCGGCCACCGTGGACAAGGCGCAGCAGGCGCACTTGATAGCTGCCACCACTGGCGAAGCAGCCAAAGGCCACCTCCAACTGGTCCAACAACCCGGGGCCGGAGCGTGGCTCACTGCCCTACCAGCTGACAATCTCGGCCTTCGCATCAACACCCATTTGTTCCGAGTTCTCCTCCGACTGAGATTGCGCCTTCCCATTGCACCGTCCGACGGCTTTTGCCCTCTTTGCGATGGGGTGGCGGATTCCTTTGGGACCACGCTCGAGTATGCCCATGTGGTGGAGACCGAGGCAAACGACATAACCGGTTGCGGAACTTCTTTGCCGCCAAGTTGGCTGCCGCTGGCCTCAGCCCAGAGCTAGAGAAACCTGGCTTGCTTCCTGCTCGGCCGGAAGATTCGGGCCTATGCGAAGCTGGAGTGTCGTTGAACCAGGCTTCCGCACGTCGACCTGCCGACGTGTGGGTTCCAGGCTGGGGGCTCCATGGCCCGGCTGCCTTCGATTTTGCAGTTTCCAGCGGACTTCGCTCTGGCGTGCTCCCTTCTACTGTTGGCCATGGCGGCCATGCTGCGCTGGTTTACGAGGAGCGTAAACGCATGCACCAACGAACCGAAGCCCAGTGCCGGGCACAAGGCTTACAGTTCTTGCCTATAGTTGCCGAAGGATGCGCTGGGGGTTGGGGGCCCACGGCCATGGCTGTCTTCCGGCAATTGGGGAGCTTCCTCGCTGCTCGAACCGGTGACTCCACCAGCAAGATGACTGAGCAATTGATGCAAGGTTTGAGCATCACCTTGCAACGGGAAAATGCCAGAGCCGTCGTCCGCCGCCTCCCCGACGACTCTGCTTCCTTCAACGCTTTGTCCGAGCCATGACCTTGGTCACTTCGTGAACGCTTGCCTTCCTGTGAGAGCCTGTTTTTTGTATTTTGCGGGACTGTCTCTGGCCTTGCCCTGGCTTGCGCCTATAAGGACAACCAGCTGGCCCTTCGAGCGGCTCCGGTTCTTCCTTGATGCTTTTTCACTTCCTCTGGCTCCGTACAGAGTGCGAGTCCCGAGGTTGTGCCTGCGTCACCTTTTTTTTCCCTCTCGCTTTCGTGTGGCGGGCTTCCGGCGGAGGGACCCTCTCCTGTTGCGAGCTCGCCGTTTTTTCCACCGCTTTATTGGTCAAGAGCACCACCGTTTGGACCTTCCGTCCGCTATGGCAGTGTCGAGGACAAGTTCCAGATGAACATCGCAAGCAAACTGGTCAGGGAGCAGCAGAGAACGCCTATGACCTTGGGGCAACCGAAGTTCTGGACTTGCCGTTTCTACCTGAACAGGAGCTTCACTTTGTCACTCATTTGGGAACTGCCGTCATCCAGTTGGACATCATGTACACGTACACAGGTCCAGAAGGCCGCGTGGAGGAACCAACGCAGGGCAGAGTTCAGGAGAGACAAGACCAATATGGCGCCCGCTTGATCATGGCTTCAACGGAGGCCAAGGCCATCCATGTAGTGCCTGTTCCCAGTAAGGGCACAGCAAGCTTGAAGCAGTGACAGAAGAAGTGATTCGCTTTTCCCTCGAGAATGTTGGCAGAGAGAAGTGCATTTTTCAGGCGGATTCTGAAAGAGCAACACGTCAGATTCTGAGGTCAGTTCAACAAGTGAGAAAAGTGATAGGGGTTGCAAACTGAGATCCGCCGCACGGGAGCAGGACAGCACGCATCAAATGGGCTGGTTGAAAGAGCCGTTCAAACAGTGAGAAGACTTGCAAACTGTTTGAGATCTTTTGCTGAAGAGCGAGCACGGTTGTCTATTTTGGGTGACAATCACTTGTATCCATGGTCCTTCAAGCACGCATCGTTCTTGATCAACAGGTATCGTGTGCTGGAAGGTGTCGGCCGCACAAGCTATGAGTTAGCTACCGGGCATGAATAACAGGATAGAGCAAGGAGGGTGGTTCCGAAGAGCGAGCTTAGTGGCACGGCAGTTCAAAGGAAGTGTGGACATTGAGCAAACTTTCGCTCCCACATCGCTCATGATCATCCCGAAAATGATGATCCACCTGCTGCTCAATGTCTGTGCTGGCTTCGTAGCTATGACCTTAGACATCAAGGACGCTTTTCTTATGGCTGACCAGCCATGTGAGGAGAGGTCGCGCATCAAGATCGAAGAGAAGGTGTTTCGGCAGTTGAGATATGTTGAGATGCTTGCCAGGACAAAGGACATTGGCATCACAGTGGTTTCAGATGTTCTCAGGAGCCTGCAAAGAGTTCAAGATGGAACAAGATGTGATGCAACCCACGCTGTTCATGAGGCAGGGAAACATGTATCTGACGGTGCTTGTAGATGACGTCTTCATGGTGGGCACGCCTCAAGTCCTTCAAGAGTTCGTGATGTTTTTGAAGGATGTGAAGAAATGGAAAGTGGAAGCGAAGGGGCCGTTTGCCGCAGCAGGAGAGAAGTTCCTATATCTCAAAAGGCAATTCAAGATCACAGAAGATCATTGTGATATCAGGTGTGACCGGAAGCAATACTATGGCCTAGAGAAGGAACTGGATTTGTTCTGCAAGGCATATCGGAAGACAACACTTGACCAGAACTTCACGAAAAAGGATGACTCACCACTCCTGGACGCCGATGCGGTGACCAAATTCAGAAGCATTGTTGGGCGACTGATGTACATGGCAAGCGAATGGCCAGATGCACAATTTGGAATCCAATGTCTGGCAAAGAAAATGTCGTCCCCAGCGAAGCAAGCTCTGAAGAATGCATGGCACCTATGCTCGTACCTGCAAGGCACCATCGACTATGGTGTGAGGATGTCGAGGAGAGAGAAAGGAAGATCAGTGCTAGACACCAGAGAGGAAGAAGAGATCAACAGTGGTCCCGTGCATTTGGTAGATCGATGGAAATCTCATCGAAAGCAGGGTCAGAACACAAAAGGCCATCGAGCTGTCATCAGGTGAAAGCGAGTTTGTTGCAGTGGTGGCAGGTTGTTCAGATGGCATGTTGATCAAGCACCTGCTGAACAAGATGACGGGAGAGAGTTGCACGATGAAGGTGAGAACAGACAGTTCAGCTGCCAGATTCATGGTGCAGCGCCAAGGCATCGGGCGCGTCAGACACCTGGACGCATCACTGCTGCGGGTTCAACAAAAAGAGAGTGAGAGAGCTTTCAGTGTGGCAGCAATTCCTTCAGAGTGGAACTGTGCAGATATAGGCGCAAAAGGTTCGGCCTGCTCTACAGATTGTGGACGCAGTCGTAGACAGAGTTGGCCATGAAGAGGGCAAAGGGCATCCGCATGGGCTTGCTATTGTTGATGGCGAGCATGAACACAGTGGCTGGAAGCCAAGTTGAGACTGAGGAGAAGACAGGCGCGGACTATGGCTGGTGGATGCTGGCCTTCTGTGCTGTGATTGGGGCCTTGAGCACACTACAGTGGCTTCGGATCTTCATGGTTGAGGGTCTCTATGGCATGCTGGGCCATATGATCAAGAATGAGGCCACAGCGATTCAGGCGACTGAGTGGATCGATTCCTACATCTGGCAACAATATGAAGAGGAGAAAGAAGAATGGAAGAAGAAATGCACAAGATCCAAGCCGAGCTGCTGGACGCAGAAGAAATGATCGGCCATTTGCAAGAGGACTTGAAGGAGATCCGAAGACAGAGAGATGACAATCTTTCAATGTTCTTGAAGTCCCAAGAGCAGCTCATCAAGCTGGAGTCGAAAATGTGCAATCTTCGTCGTGCACCGAGTGGACATGTAATCCATTTGGATGCCAGGTGCACACACTGGCAGAAAGCCAAAGATGCTTCATTTTGTAGTATTTGTCAGGATGAAGGCCGTGCTTCCATTTAGTGAGATGTCAGAACACCAACCCAGCGGACATTCATCCTGACATAGTGGACCCGACGACCCCGCGTGTTGCGTCGCTTTGCAACATTGATTTTTGCACTGTTGTTTCAGGTGTAACTTGACAGCGGAGTTGCTGGCATGACAGGCCGTTGACATTGTTGCGCGCAGTCAGGGACATGAATGGTCTTGAGACGACGTGCCAAATGGTGGCCAGCCGCATGCCTGCCAGCAAGAACAGGGCAATGGCGCTTCCTCAGGTTATCGTGCAGTGGCCAGTTTTCAACATGAAAGAGTCGATGACTAGCCAGGGAAAGGTGATAGCGCAAGGGCAAAGGAAAAGCAAAGACCCAGGCTGTTTGTTACAACTGCGGTCGAAGTGGCCACATGGCCAAAGAGTGTTGGCATGCGAAAGAAGGTAAAGCAGGAAAGGTTCGACAGGTTGATGGGCAGACATCTGGAAGTGGGAAGCAGCACACGGACGCAACACCAGCTTCAGGTGGTTCTCAGCAGCAGCAGTCGGGCCAAGGTGCAGTTCGTCGTTTTGTATTTGACCTCAGTGATGTTGCGCCAAGCTCAACAGCATGTAAGAATGGTGCGTGAGCGTGGTTGTGAGTTTTTATGCCTACCTACATGTTCCACAGTCGAAAATGAGACCAACGGTCACAGGCTTGTATTTACACCAGCAAAAGTGTGCTTCGTAAAAAAGAGCCTGCAAGACGGTGGTAGGATCATGTGGCAAAGGACAATCACGAGATGCTTGGTGGCGAGACTCGTTTGGAACAACTCAATTTTTCGTTTGCCGCGTGGATGCGTGATTCTTGCACATGTCGATGACTTGTTGTTCTGGGGCAAAAGAAGAGGCGGTACAACCGAGTTTGAAGGGAGTGCACGTCATTGAACCGGGATACGCAAAGATGTTCATTCATTCATTCATTCATTCATTCATTCATTCATTCAGAAAAGCAGCGTGCAAAGCATTGGTTTTATGTGTGCAAGCAGTGGACAGAAAAACTGACGAAGAGCAAGGTTCCAGGTACACCTCATAGTTGTGCAAACGCTGACAAGAGCACGGCTTGGAGAAAACAAGAGCTGGCAACTGGCAACGTGTCGCAAAGGTGTGGCTAATGGGCGATGTGAAGAGCGCTGCAACATCCTGGACTCCTGGACTTGGAAGCTACCTGCTGTATCGAGGAGTGCTTTGTCAGCTGAGTCGCAGGCAGCAAGCGAAGCCAGATAGCTTGTGAAGTATACGACATTGTTCTGGAACCTGATCTTCTTCAAGACCGGCTACTTGGAGAACAGCCCAGATTGTGGACGCCGGGCCTATATACATCGAGGAGCCAACAAGAGAACAACAATCAAGGCGTTAGTGTGCCATAAGAAGATGGCGTGCTGCAATGGCAAGGTGATGCGGGTTGTGTGGGTCTCTTCAGAGCTGCAGTATGCAGACGGCCTCACAAAAGATGCAGGGCCCCACTACTCGAACAAGGAATGAGGACACAGATGACGAGGCTGAAGAGCGATGAGACTTTTCGTTCGCCCAAGATGAAGAATGCCATGAACAGGACTAGGGGCGAGAACATGTTCAATAGACCATAAAGAACCCTATTGTGCAATGTTTGCAACCTGAACACCGCAGACGCTCTGAACACCACGAAGGGTGACTTCAGCTATGAGAGAGGCGTCCTACAACATGGAAGAGAATGACAATCTCGACTGTATCGTCGTGATCACGTTCACGATACTCTTTGGCATCTTCCCTTAGCTTTGTGTGAGAGGCTGCTGGATGTCGAGAATTGCCAGGGATTGTCGTGCACAGACCATAAGGACTGGATTGGAAGAAGGGAGGCTGATCCAACTGAGAAAGGACAAGATGAAGCTGAACGATGAGGTGACCCATTTTTGCAATGAGTGGGCACTGGACACCAAGAAGCTTGACGGCAGGGACAGAAGGAGGAGCAGAGTGAGATGCTCAGCCAGAAGCTGAAGGAGTTCAGTGGCTAACCAGTGTACCTTGCAGGTCAGGGAGGCTGGTGGCATGCAAGCTTGCTCAGCGCGCCGTGAACTTGCTCTAAGACAGGAAGACATGCAAAGCGTGTGCCCGTTTGTTCTTTGAATCACGCCCTCCTGCAGCGTCGACAGGTAGTGTTCATGGCATCACGGACACGGGCGGTGACCTTTTTCCCCAAACAGTTTACTGTTGGGGGTTCTCAATGCTTTAAAGAATGGTCGCCTTGGTGCTGGATGGTCTGGTCGGGTTCCCGGCCGGCTTGTCTCCCACTTCCTTTCATTTGTCTCCCAGTTCTTTTCATTTGTCTCCCAGGCTGGGTGCTTGTGGTCGGGTTCCCGGCTGGCTTGTCTCCCACTTCCTTTCATTTGTCTCCCACTTCTTTTCAATTGTCTCCCAGTTCTTTTCACTTGTCTCCCAGGCTGGGTGCTTGTGGTCGGGTTCCCGGCTGGCTTGTCTCCCACTTCCTTTCATTTGTCTCCCAGTTCTTTTCATTTGTCTCCCAGGCCACTTCCTTTCATTTGTCTCCAACTTCTTTTCATTGTCTCCCAGGCTGGTGCTTGTGGTCGGGTTCCCGGCCGGCTTGTCTCCCACTTCCTTTCATTTGTCTCCCACTTCTTTTCATTTGTCTCCCAGGCTGGGTGGTCGGGTTCCCGGCCGGCTTGTCTCCCACTTCCTTTCATTTGTCTCCCACTTCTTTTCTGCTTGTGGTCGGGTTCCCGGCCGCGTTGTCTCCCACTTCCTCTTATTTGTCTCCCACTTCTTTTCATTTGTCTCCCAGGCTGGGTGCTTGTGGTCGGGTTCCCGGCCGGCTTGTCTCCCACTTGCTTTCATTTGTCTCCCGGTTCTTTTCATTTTTTGTCGGGTTCCCGGCCGGCTTGTCTCCCACTTCCTTGAATGTGTCTCCCACTTCTTTTCATTTGTCTCTCAGGCTGGGTGCTTGTGGTCCGGTTCCCGGCTGGCTTGTCTCCCACTTCCTTGCATTTCTCCCATTTCCTTTTATTTGTCTCCCGCTTCTTTTCATTTGTCTCCCAGGCTGGGTGCTTGTAGCCCGGTTTCCGGGCGGCTTGTCTCCCACTTCCTTGCATTTGTCTTCCACTTTTTCCCCAAACAGTTTACTGTTAGGGGTTCTCAATTCTTTCTTAAGACGTGTCCGCCCTTTGTGTCACTGCTGGTGTCCGCCCATTTCCACTGGCCATGTAACATTTCTATTCATCCGTCTCCCAGGTCTGTCACTGTTGGTGCCCGCCCTTTTCCGCTGGCCATGCAGCATTTCTATTCATGTGTCTCCCAGGTCTGTCACTGATGGTGTCCGCCCATTTCCGCTGGTCGCGTAGCATTTCTTTTCATTTGTCTCCCAGGTCTGTCACTGCTGGCGATGCAACATTTCTATTCATTTGTCTCCCAGGTCTGTCACTTGCGGTGTCCACCCTTTTCCGCTGGGGATGCAACATTTCTATTCATTTGTTTCCCAAGTCTGTCACTGCTAATGTCCGCCCTTTTCTGTTGGCCATGGCATTTCTGTTCATTTGTCTCCCAGGCCTATCACTGTCTATCACTGGTGGTGTCCGCCCTTTTCTGCTGGCCATGTAGCATTTCTATTCATTTGTCTGCTGTCACTGCTGGTGTCCGCCCCTTTCTCCTGGCCATGTAGCATTTCCATTCATTTGTCTCCCAGGTCTGTCACTGCTGGCGTCCGCCCCTTTCTGCTGGTCATGTAGCATTTCTATTCGTTTGTCTCCCAGCCTGCACTGCTTGGTCATGAGCATTTCTGTTCATCCGCTCTTTGCCGCTGGCCATGTAGCATTTCTATTCTTTTGTCTCCCAGGTCTGTCGCTGGTGTGTCCTTGTCTATTGGCCATGAAGCATTTTTATTCATTTGTCTTTCAGGTCCGTCACTGCTGGTGCCATGTAGCATTTCTATTCATTTGTCTTTCAGGTCTGTCACTGGCGGTGTCCGCCCTTTTCCGCTGGGCATGCAGCATTTCTGTTCATTTGTTTCCCGGGTCTGTCACTGGTGCTGCCGCCCCTTTCTGCTGTTTCCATTCATTTGTCTCCCATGTCTGTCACTGCTAATTTCCGCCCTTTTCCGCTGGCCATGCAGCATTTCTATTCATTTGTCCCCCAGGCTTGTCACTGGTGGTGCCCTTTTCCGCTGTTTCTGTTCATTTGTCTCCCAGGTCTGTCACTGCTGGTGTCCGCCCTTTTCGTCGGCCACGCAGCATTTCTATTCATTAGTCTCCCAGGTCTGTCACTGTTGGTGCCCGCCCTTTTCCGCTGGCGATGCACCATTTCTATTCATTTGTTTTCCAGGTCTGTCACTGCTGGTGTCCGCCCTTTTCCGCTGGGCATGCAGCATTTCTATTCATTTGTTTCCCGGGTCTTTCACTGGTGCTGCCGCCCTTTTCCGCTGGCCATGTAGCATTTCTATTCATTTGTCTCCCATGTGATTTCTTTCTTTTTGTCTTTCAGGTTTGGTGCCTGCACTGCTGTTTTTTTCTGCCCTGTCCGCTGGAACAGATTCGCCTGTGAAAGGTTCTTGCTCCTTTGCAAGGGGTGCGTGACTGTCCCGGGATTGCATTCCTGCCACACTGTGTAACTCTCTCAGCTTTGTTTTCCTTTTCGGGCAACCGTTGGATGAATGACCGGATTGGATTTCGGCCGCGTGGCAGCGATCTCTCTGTTCAGTTGGGGCGGAGGGCATACGTTAGGCGCCAAAAATCAATTTCATGTCACATCCTTCGCTCCTCATGCTTTTGTTTCTTGTCTTCACGTGGTCAGCTCCCTGCTGACTGAGCAGCATGACCAGCGTCATGTTCGCGCTTGAAGAATAATTCCCCAAAAGGTTTACTGTTAGGGCTTCTCACTTCTTTTTAAAGATGTGTCCGCCCGCTCTGTACTGCTGTGTCCGTCTCTGCCTTGCAATCCTTTACATTTGTCTCCCAGCTCTGGACGTCGCAAGCTCTAGTTTCGATTTTGAAAAACACAAACTGTTTGGGGTCTACGGTGGTGTAATTTTGTCTTTGAGCTGACCTCCTCTTTCCCACGGATCGCGCGATAGAGGTTGAGCACTTGTCATGACATGGAACATGTACCGCCGCCTGGAGACAGTGGCGGGATGCACGCGCTACCGAGCAACCGCCCGTTGAAAAGGCCGTGAGATGCGGCCTGGACCACATCCGAACTTTGATGTGGACTTTGTGAACCTGGGCCCGGTGAACCGCTTCCGTCTACCAACAGCAATATACATCCCCCCGATGTCCAAACCTAGTGAGGTACAGTGAGTGATTGGCGAAGCCATTGGCCAATAAGTTGACAGCGTGTCGTTCCGCCATGAAACTCACAACGCGACTTGAAAACCTTGCGCTTATCATCCAGGTGTGGTCATGTATTTTCATACCCTCAACTACTGAGGGTCCAGGATTGGTGCACCTCGGGGTGCTGAGAGCAAAAGGTCTCACATCATTTTTAGATCACTTTAGGCCCACTCACTTTAAGCAGGTTAGACTAGACCCTAAATATCGGATTTTGGAGTCCTGGGTTTTGGAGTCCGGTCTATCGTGGTAAGCTCAAACTGCTAGAGTGGCTGCTGGGATATCATTCCAGATCCCAATTTTGAGGGCCTACTTGGTGTTCCCAGGGTCCCTGCCCACTAGTTGCCGGTATGTATTATTTTCCTGTGCTTTTCTTTGTGTTCGTGCTTTGCCGCCGTGGTTTTGGAGGACGAAGATGGCCTCAAGACTGTGTATTGGGCAGATTGGAATTCAGATCAGTTGCCAGACGTTTTGGTTGGCATCCAATGGTCTGGAACGGACTATTGGGCGTTGTCGGAATACTTCCAACATACGGTGGATAGAGACCTGATGCGCAATTCTCAGTTGGATACTTATGAGGACTTCGAGTCAAAGAGCGGAGAGTTCATGGTGGTAGATTGGAATGACGACGGCTATGAAGACATTGTGGTCTTTGAAGCGTCCGCGGCTGGTGCCCAGTTGGATTTGTATGAGTTCCAGCGGGGGGGCCTCAGGCAAGTGCTTGGTGCTTCAAAGATTCAGACGACCAACTGGGACAGTGAAGCCGGGTGGGAATGCCATTGTTGATTGGGACAAAGACGGTAGCTTGGATCTTCTCATCTCGGCGCGAGACGGCAAGCTGCACTACTATCAGATGGCTAATGGGAGTCTCCGCGAAGAACCACGGCATGCTTTCAGTGACATCCGAACCCCTAAAGATACATTTAGCGGATGGCCAGTTCGACATCACCTAGCCCAGCCTGTGGTTGTGGACTTTGACAATGACGGTGATATGGATTTGTTCCTTGGCCCGCCAGATGGGCGATACTTTGAACAGTTGGTGGATGGCAATCTTCGCGAATGGTCCCTAGAGCAGAGCCCCGTGAGGAATGTAATGAAACTGCAAACTTATGTTTGGGAGGCTGATGGGCATGTCTACACTCGCAATTACACTGATATCACCTGGCGGTTCGTGGATTGCGATGGAGATGGTGACTTTGACTTGCTCAGGGTGCGGCACTTCTACAAGGGTGCAGTACAGGCCTGCAAGCACGACAGCACGCACACATTGAGATGTGATGACAATTTCTCCTGTTTGGGCACAAACCTCAGTCGTTTCAAAGGCATCTGGGAAGGAATAAGGCACTTGGATTTGGGAAATGTGGCTGACGGCCGGCTCAAGTTCATTTCCACCCATTGGTCAAGAAAAACAGCTGTGCTGTGGAGCGCAGGTTTTTGCATTCCAGTTGATCCTTGCCATAAAAAAGGTTGGTGCTTGGCTAGACAAACGCGGTGTAGCTGCATTGTGGGCCATGAGCTAGACGATTGCTCAGGTTGTGAGCCACATTTCTATAGTGCGCAGCAGAAGGTGGGGCAGATGCACACTTGCAAAGCATGTCCAGGAGATGGCCAAGTTTGTTACGGTCGAGGCAGATGCTTTGATGATGTGACCGCAAAGGCACCTTCACAGGAGGCAACTGCCGTTTTGATGGCTTTGGGAAATGGCTCATGCATTTGCAACGAAAACCATTTCTACGGAAGTGATGAAGAAGGCCGTAGTACCTGCATGGAAGGCATGTGCCCAGCTGGCACCGAAGAGAGTGATGGTGCTTGCCGCCCTTGTAATGCTGGGTCCTTTTCGCTAGCAGGAGGCATGTGCAAGATTTGCTTACCAGGGACCTTCTCTTCGAGAGAGAGCAGCAGTTGTTCAATTTGCACGGCGGGTTCCATCTCAAAAGCATCAGGTGCAACCGAATGCGATTCTTGTCCTGCTGGAACATATGAAGTGGAGAATGTATTGTGCAACCAGTGCCCAGCTGGTTCGATTTCCCCACGAGGGAGCCACTTTTGCACCAAGTGTCCAGCTGGTTCTCATTCAGCAGTGCCGGGCAGTCCCACATGCATACCCTGTCCAGCAGGTTCTTTTGCTGGAGAGGCCAGCCCAACGTGCAGCAAATGTCCTCCTGGTTGGGTTTCAGGTGCGGCCAGCAGTTCGTGCAACCAGTGCGATGCAGGCCGCTTCGCAAAGCTGTCCTTGGCATGTGAAGCATGTCCGGGTGGAAGGTGGTCTAGTGCAGGAAGCAGTGAGTGCCGAAGCTGTCTTCCTGGACAGTTTTCTCTGACAGGAAGCGGCAACTGTTCGGACTGTCTTCCAGGGACCGTCTCGAAGGCAGACGCTTGGCAGTGTGATAAATGTCCTGCAGGGACGTATGAAGTCAACAATGAATTGTGCAGAGCATGCCCTGTCGGTGCCATCTCAGATGGAGCCCGCCGTGCCTGTAGCCAGTGCGATGCTGGGCGTTTTGCAAAGATGTCTCTGACCTGCGAAGCATGTCCTGGTGGAACCTTTGCTGGCAAAGGAAGCATCACCTGTCAGGCGTGCCCCTTGGGTCATGTGTCCCATCCAAACAGTGCTGCCTGCAGGAGCTGTGACAGCTTTCTCATCCGAACTTCCCCCGATGCAACGAAGCAGAGCTGTCAGGTTTTTGCTGTGGATGTTGCCTTTGCACTGCTGTGCTGGATTGCTTCAGCTGGTTTCGGCTTTTTCGTTTTGACTAGCTGCTTTGGCCGTATTCCGATTGCGGATTTGTCTGCGCAAGGTCGAAGGCTTGTCATACTAACCACCATGGCCCACTTTCTCTTGAAATGTCCAGCTGTGACTTTCACAAAAACAGGGGTTCCCGACTTGGAGTCGTCTTCTCACATCTGGACAGTAAAACCCTTGAGCTTGTCGCAATTGACCCTGCATGGTGAAAGCACCATGCCACTTGACACCTCAACGGGACATTTGCATTTGAAGTTCCCACATGGATTCCTGTCAGCGGGTGTGTGGCCCTGTGCATTCATTTGGTGGTGCTTGCTCTTTGGTGCGGCGTGTGCAGCCACGGCAAGCCAGCTTACTTGGCCCCTCACGTTGGTGGTTTTGGCCTTAGGCCTTTCCACAGGCTCTTTGGCTTTTGCCTTGCGCCGAAGGTGGGGAATGAAGCTGTTAGAGCCAGACAGATGGACACCAATTCAAAACAAACATGTTCCAAGTTCCAAGTATACAGTTCCAAGATGAAAGCTTTTGTTGCAGGCAAGGGGAAAAGACTCCGTTGGTGAAGAGGCGACATCAGTTTTGCAAAGAGTGGGCTTTGGCCTTCAAACCATGTAGGCGTGGACCGGATCGTTCGATGACTGCAGGAAAGCTGCAGGATTTCCTACAGTGGCTTTGTTTTGGCTTTGAAAGATGCAATTTTATTTATTTATATTTTTAGTATGAAGGAAGGTAAATAGTAGCCTACTGTCAGACTTTTTCGGCTTTCATTAGGTGCTGCTGACACACTTGGAAGTATCACACCACAGCAACACACACTACGCATGCTTTCACAGCACGATTCCAGCTGCCAAACTTGTTCAGTTTGTTTGGGCCTGAGGTTCTTTGAAGCCTTCATCAAGGAGCGTTCCATGTATTATGTTTGCTCCAACATTGTAAAACCTCTCACTGAGCCATTTCAGATGTCCTTTGCAGAACTCGTTGGCCCAACGAAGATCCAGTGGTTTGTGAGCCACTACTGGGGCATGCCTGTGCGGCATTTTCATGAGTCCATCAGGAGACATGCTCAGAGTTACGACAGGTGTGAGGGAGATTGGCGAGATTCGGCATATTGGATTTGCACCTTCAGCAATAGTCAGTGGCATGTGAAGGAGGAGCTTGGGCATGGACATTGGCAGGATTCATCATTTTACCTTGCTTTGAGAACTCGTTAGATATCTTGTGCTTGCAAGAGGTCCGTTTGTCCGAGGATAACATGCTGTCAGCCCACCATGCTGCCAAGCAGCAAGGCTGGACCTTTTTGCCCGGCCCTTGCGCGCAAGACTCGCAGGGGGCACCAACTGCCGGCGTTGCTGTTTTGAGCCGGTGGCCCGTCGAGAAGAAAGCTTTGCCTTCCCAAATTGATCCAGAACTGCAGTGCCACAGTGGCCGTTGGCAAGTACTGCAAATGCATAGGCCTGCCAGAAGACCTTTTGTTTTGGTCAACTTGTACTTGCATGCTTCGGATCGCTCAAGTGCCTGCCGACTAGGGCATCTGCTTTTTGAACTAACTGCACAGATGGGTGAAGATTGTTTATTCATAGGTGATTGGAACAATGTGCCTGATGAGGAACCTGCGCTTTCTCCACTGAGGGGAGGGCGGCTCCATTTGGCAGATGAAATTGCGGGGCCATTGCAGCTCCAGGCGCCCACTCGCACTGGAGGTAGGCACATTGATTACGCTTTGCATTCCATGTTGTTAGTTCCTTCAGACAGGGGTCAAGTCCCTGGAGTTGCTGACCATGACCTTGTGTTTTATTCATTTCCTCTGCTTGCAGAGGAAGCTTCCTTTAGGATTCAGCCTGCCAGAGCCTTGTTAGCCACTGAGCCTGTGTCAAACGAATTGTGGGGTCGCAATTTTGATTTGCAACATTTTCACACTTTGCTGGAACAAAGCCAAATCGAAGAAGCTTGGATCTTTCTGAGCAATGCAGCTGAGATTTGCTTACAAGCTAAGCCAGGGCGTAAGCGCAGTTCCGTGCCAGCTCCAAGTCAGGTGCCTCGGGCTCCTGTCAAGCCCGACACTTTGCAGACCACCCTTGAGCGTAGACTGCGAAGAACTTATAGGCGGGTTCTAGAGTTGCAGAAACCTTCTTGGCCTTGGCGTTTACTGAACAAAGTGCGCGAAGAGCTGCGCAGGTTTGCTAGAATTTTCCCTGAGCTCACCGAGTTCGATGTTTTGTCTCCTCGCCTTCCGGATATCCTTCTGCAATGCATTCAGCGTGAGAGTGATGCTTCGTCAGAAAGAAGGTTAGCTAGGTGGCACACCGACATGAATGAGAATGAGCAAGCCCTTATTCGTTGGGTCAAGGGCGCGGATAAGCTCATTGCCCCGTCAGGCCTTGACTCTGTTCCAGTGCATCCGCAGCTCAAAGCTGAGCATTTTGGTCGTGAATGGCAGGCCATTTGGTGCCCGCATAGCAATGTTGAGCCTGAACGGGTTCTGCCTTTTCTTTCTTGGATACGTGCTGACGAGTTTTTTTGTCCGGAGCCTGTTTTCACTGATACTAGCTTTGTGAGACTCACCAAACAAGCTTCTGGAAAAGCGGCCGGACCAGACGGTTGGAAAGCGGACCAGTGGCTTTTGTTGCCCGAAGGGTTTTATTCTGCATTCTCCGCCTTGTGGCGTAGAATTTTGGACATTGGGATTCTGCCTTCTCAATGGGCGCAGGTGCGTTGTGTCCTTATCCCTAAGGATGTCGGTTTCAGACCTATTAGCATCGCTTGCCTTGCTTGGCGCCTTGGCATTAGTTGCATTTTGCACCAGTTGCCCCCCTGGATTGACCAATGGGCGCCGCCGGAGTTAGTCGGTGGTTTGAAGGCGAGAAGTTCCACCATCGTACATGATGACCTTCATGAAGCTTTGCAGGAGAGCACTCTTTTTGGGGCAAAGATCGACGTGGCCAAATGCTTTGATCATGTGAATATCGAGCAAGCTTTCATTGTTTGGGAGAAATTTGGCGCTCCTGCCAAAGTTGTGAACATTTTGAAATGCTTTTATCGCATGCAAGTCAAAAGTTTCGAATGGCAAGGTTTTTGCAGCCGTGAACGCATTCGATGCACCCGTGGCATTTTGCAAGGATGTCCACGTAGCTGTGCTTTGCTCGCCGGATTGATGACTGTCTGGTGTCGGTATGTGCAGCAACAATCGCCCAGTGTCCAACTTTCAGTTTATATTGATGACAGGACTTTGTGGTGTAAAGAGCGGCAGCCACTGCAGCTTGCTCTTGATGCTTCGCAGAGCGTTGACCAGGTTTTGGGCCTCAGGTTGAACTGTTCTAAATGTGAACTCTTCTACAAGTGCCGAAATGCCCAATTGCAAGCTTTTCAGTCATGGAACGTTGCTTGTAACAGGAAGTGGAAGATGGCTACCCACTTCAAGTTGTTGGGGGTTCATTACTTTTCTACTAAGGCTCGCCGTAGACCAATTGAGCCTGCCGTTGTTGCAAAAGTGCAAGCGCGTCTCAGGCGCCTTCGAATGGCCACTCACAGGCGCTGGAGCAAGAGGCGGCTTGTGAGGTCACTTGTCCTGTCCTTGTTTTCGCACACAGGTGCTTGGACCACCATTCCCAAGAAACTCTTGCAAAAATGGAGATATGCTGTTGAGACAACCATGTTGGGTTATCCTCAATCTGGGAGATCCAGATATTTGATGTGGGCTTGCTTCCTGACGCCCGAGCTTGACCCAGAATTCGCCTTGGATTCCAGAGTTGTGTTTCACGAGTTGTGGAGACTTCGACGTGAAGCTGCTGCACGCCAAAGTGTGACTGACATTTCCAGGTTGCAGTTCACTGAGGTTGAGCCGTGTGAACGCAGCAGCCGCCTACTTGAAGTCCTGCAAAAGTGGGGTTGGGAGCGCTTGAGCAAAAGTCGTTTCCGTACTCCTTCAGGTGTGCTTGATTTGCTTTCCCATGGTGAGACTAGGGTCACAGCCGCTATGAAAGCCGCCTGGAAACGGCAGTTGTGGCTTAGCGAGCCGCGTGCGGCGGAAGTTGCCGACTTAAACGTGGAACCTGTCATTGCTGTGCATGTGGCTTGCATGAAGCAGGGTCAAAAGCAAGATCCCTTGTCGTTTTCCATTGCTTGTGCTGCAGGGCCAGCCAGTCGCAAGCTGGCCAAGAGATTTGACTTGAATCACGTGTCTTGTGTGTGTGGTGCAGATTGGCCTTCATGCCGGCATGTCACTTGGCATTGCCCTGATACCAACTTGCCTGAACACACTTCTGCACCTGCTAATGGTGTCGAAGAGAGGTTGTTGGTGCGTAGCATAGCTCCGCCGCCGCAGCCGCCTGATCTCTTGCCGGGTGACGTGCGCCCTCCTGTTGAAATTTGCTCCGCTTTCATTTCGCAGATGGCGCTCTTTGATGGAATGATTTTGGTCGCTACTGATGGTAGCTGCAAAACTCGCCACTCGCAGAAGCGGGCAGCTTGGGGTATCGCGACTGAAAGTCAGGTTTTTGCTTTTCCGATGAAAGGTTGCGACCAGAATATTTTTGCTGCTGAAACCTGGGCCGTGTTTCAAGCTTTGCATGCAGCACATCTCACTGGTGTGAGAGTGCGTATTCTATGTGACTCACAAGCCGTTGTCTTCGCTGCTGCGAGGGTGCGGCGTGGTGGATCTTTGCCACGTTGGGCATCTGGCATGTGGCGCGCCATTGCTTTGCTCAGTCCTGAAAGTGTAGTTTCATGGGTGCCGGCCCACGGCCGCTCCAAAGATTGGACACCGCCAGATGGCCACTCCCCTGCTGTCTGGCGGACTTACAATGACAGAATTGATGCGGCAGTTCAGGCCGTTGCGCAGCCCTGTGCCGATTCTTTGAGTGCTTGGGCTCGTCGAGTCGATGATGCTATGGCTTGGAGTGGTTTTGCTCTTGCAAGACAGAAACAAGCTCTGCTTGATTTGCGCAGGCATGTCGAGTCATCAGCTCTCAGCTGACCTTATGTGCTTGGTGATTCCTTTTATTCAATTTCTGCCTTGTCGGAAACGGGAAGATGTCATCAATGGACTGCACGCCGTGCAGCAGGGTTGGTGGCGAAGCTGTTTGCTTCGAACACTTTTGCGCTTTGGCGCCCCGAAAGTTGCCTCCAGCTACCCACTTCGGTGGGCCCAGGCTGTGGCAACATATAAATGCCACACACACACACACGGTTCTTCCGCTTCAGCGCATTTGGTGCCTCTTTGAGGTCTACCAAACAATCAGCTTGCCACGAAGTGGTCAGTTTGAAGGCTTGCTGCTTTGCACATCTACCGGCGTTTTGCAACAGGGAAAAGCAGGTGCCGATGTGGCAGTCGCGGTTGCGAAAACAGTTGCAGAGCTTGACACTCGTACTGCTGAAGCAACAGCGGAAGAAGACCGGCTCATGATTCATTCCCTCATAGAGCAGATGCCAGGTGGCTTTGACACGATGAATTCATTCGTCCGTGACACTATTTGCAATGCTTTGGAAGCCTCTCATCTTCATTATGAAAGTACACTGAAAGATTTGATGCATACTTTGGCTTCGAACAGTTCCACAGCGCCAGCCCCTTTGCCAACACTTCTCACAAGCAGTGCTGCTTATCGGCCCAACAAGGCAGATACCAGCCCCGACAGAGTGTGTTCAATTGATCCCGTTTGACAATTCAATGGCCTCGTTACCTCGTTTGTATGTCACTTGGAGTAGTTTTGAGATGCCGTCAACAATTTTGGCCAAGCACCTTTGCAAGCGCATCAAATGAAGGATGTGAGGTGCTTTAATATCAGTGCATCTTACTTGTACAGTGAATTGGGCATTCTTTCGAGCAGATCGCAGATCGTTTTTGTATTTTGCGTGTTTCAGCCCTCAGATGCAAAATTGCTAACGTGGCAGACCTTGCTTTCAGCAAGAAAGTCCGCTTTCGTGTGAGTGGGGATGATTGAGGCTGTGACCACTAATTGTGCCTTGATTTGTTTTTGGCATTGTTTTAGCCAAGATAAGCTAAAGACATTTCATCCAAGACCTTGAAAGCTGATTCTTAGGCAAGCGGAAAGCAGTGCATTTTGTTGAAGCAGACCATGCTTGTAACAAACACATTCAGCGCCGCCTTTCATGCAATTGATACACACACACACATATATATAGACATACATATTGCTTTGGCCCTGGCTGGGGCAGTTGCACATTATTTGTTTAGCCCTGGTGTTTGGCGGAAGGCAAGCAGCTTCGGTTGGACGGGTGTACACGTGCGCATCTTGCAAGACACTCTTCCCAGTGGCTTTGAGGGCTTATGGTGCAGGGAATTCAGGCGTCCCACCCATTGGAGTGACGAAGGTGTTGTTTTCTTCAAAGATCTTGGGATGCCTCCCAGGCTTCTCATGACAGTGTGTTTTGTAGAATGCTAATGCCTTTAGCACTCTCCACGAGGTTTGGCCATGTTTGGCCAACAGCCTTCGAGTTCGTGTCATGAAGAGGATGACGATGTCGCCCAGGCAATGACAATGTCGTGGAATCGATGACGATGTTGCAATAACGGTTCAGCACCCGACCCGTAACCACAAGGCCGTGTGATGATAATATTGTGATATATCGATGACAATGTTGTGATGATGATGGTTGTGAAGCCGATGACAATGTTGTGCATCCGGTAACAAGGTTGCGCAAGCAAATGCATGAAAGCACCAAACATTGCAAAACAGTGTGCAGAATGCTTTGTCAAAACTGGCGCAAAACTAAAACCCTGCGACATGCTCTACGAAATGCATGCGTGAGTGCGACATTGGTTTGGACATGTTTAAGATGTCATGCCTCACAGGTCAGATCTTTAAAGAGCGACACTGCCTTTCTTTGGCCGGAAGGTCTTTTGCAACCCTCCGTGGCAATGTTGATTGTTGGATTTAGCGGCTGGAACGGTTTTGGCAGATTGCTCGGAGTTGACGTGCAACATTGAACAAGAGGGTGGGCTGCGGAGGGCTTAGTTTGCAACATATTTAGAATCTTTAGAGGTGCACATTGTCCCTATATATCGATATGCTAATATAATATATATATATATGTTTGCCTCTGCGATTTCGGTTGAGCATTTTGAGTCTGGTGGCTTTGTCGCTTTTGGTTCCCCTTGTTTCCTTTGCTTGAAGTGCAACCTTAGCTTTTGAACACCGTGCCGCCGCAACGAATATTTTTGTCCTTGCATTGCCACCAGAGGCAGGCCGACAGGAAACGAAGGCGGAAGCGAACGACAAAAAAGGGTCGTGCACTGCACACATTGGTAGAAAGCTGTTGGTAGAATACATGGCGTGCTGCGATGGAGAGTTTAGCGAGAATACATGGCGTGCTGCAATCGAGGGTTAACACGAGATCAAAGCTTGAGTTTGTTGCCTGGCTGGCACAGCACTTGGTGAACCTTGGTCTGCAGAATACACATGAATGCAGCTATGCGCAAGGTCGAGCAAATACGCCAAAGGCATGTTGAAAGTCAAAGGTGCTTCAAAGAGCCCTTGCAGTTGTTGCCAGCACTCCTGTAAGCCTTTCATGCGCGTCTTACAGCATATGAGCGTCACAAATAGCTTTGCTAGTTTAAGAGTGCTGTAAAGGCTTGATAGATAGGTAGGACATTGGCACACTGATGCTTGTTGCCCAAGTCACCAAGAGCCGGTGCCATCTATGGTGTCAGGGCATTTTAAAAGCAATGGGAGGTGGTGCATCAGATTTGCAAGGAAAGCTAAAGGATTCAAGTGCTGAGGAGCTCAAGCGCACCTTCGAGGACGAAAATCGTTCGGTCATTGCCACCCCTGTGTTAAACTTAGAAGCCTTTTGAAAAAAAGGAGCATTTTGAGTTCAACTCCCTAATAAATCACACTCGTGATTCGACACTGTTGTCAGTTTTCTTGCTGCGTGCGCGTGAACGGCATCCAGTGGTTTTGATATTTTACGGACCTTGCCAAATGACTGGAGGATCTTAGCATTGAAAATCGCCAGTGGATTGTGGCAGCAATTGAGCAGGTCGAGGTGAGGCATTCGGTCGAAACTTGATCATCACAAAGTTCTGTGATGCAAAGGTTTTTTAATCTTTGAAGAAGATGAGAGAAACCCCGTCGTCTGAGTCGTGACAGCCAGCTATTCAATGAAACGCCTGGGAGGCCGCTCGGAGTATGGATCTGTCAGCAGTGGCAGGTGCGACTTTCAATGGTTGGAGCAATTCAAGCACCAAAACGGTAAGAAGCTTCCAGGTGCATACACGGCACATGCTTCCGACGGAGACTGGGGAAGCTATACGATCCTGGATGTTGAATCGCTTTTCTTGTGCTATTACACTGCGACCATGAGATGCTCCATCCACCAATGTATTGAACAGAATGCTTGACATTTGAGAAAGGAACATGCACCTGAAGCATATATATATATATATTTATTTTTTAGAGCCAAGGATATCAGTTCGCATTGATCCAGATGGCAATGGGAAGGCGCGCCCAAAAACTTCGAGATTTTCAGCAGCTAATGACTGCTTTTACCTTGGTCCAGAATCCAGACATGTAACGCACAGATCTATGAGTCAAACTGCGACTTCCGGGACAGTCCTGCGACCAAAACTGAGAGGCGCAAAAGATGTTGCTGGATTATGGATTTCCTAGATATCAAGGAAGCACATGACCAGTACGTGCGCTTTCCCAGTCCAGTAGCTAGTGGCTAGTAGTTTTTTACCCCTTACTACTAGCTACGTGTTAGTCTACTCAGTGGCTCCAGAGTGGTTGCCAGGAACGGGACATTCAGCATAGTCGGCGATGTGGTTACTTTCAATGCGCCACAGCGGACGATCACCACTGAAGGGGCTGCTGAGCTAAAAGCAGCTGGCCTTTGGAGCCTTATCAAACACCACTGTCATATGAGTCATATGTGGGTTGCCAAATGGAAGTGATTTGTTTGAGGCTGGTGGAACGTTCACTGAGACTAAAGAAGAAGTAGAGCGCCTTCGCTTCAGAGTCAAGGCGCGTGGTCAACGCTCAGCTGGTCATTTCAAATCCCCTCCAAATGTTCCATGCCAAAGGTACATTGGTACATTGGAAGGTGCAGATAATGTAGAGCCGACAAAAATATGCAGTTTTGTGTTTATTCTCCCTTCTTGAGTTTGGTTGCTGTCCAGGCGAACCAGCTTCTGCAGCTAAAGGGTGACACTGATGAGGTGCTTGCAACTTCGTTCCGATTGGAGCATTTTGATTGGTTCGAAGCAACAGGTTTGTGCACCAGAGATTTGACTGCGCATTCGGAATTTCAGGTGGGCACAATCTCTGGTGGTATAGCCGGAGATCCACAGCCAGCGGTTTTGAACAAAAGTTCTTAACCTGTGAGGCTGCCTCCAGATTATTAGAATTCATGATGTGATCTATTTGCCAAATCCTCGATGGAATCCGTACATTGAAATCGGTAGGTTTACTGGAAGGTAGACTCTTTGGTTCTTGTGTTTTGGCAGCCCCTACAAATTTTGCGGATGGTGCGGCCAAGAGTTCTGATGATTTGCTAAAGGAACCGCTTGAACCTTCTCGGCGACTTGATGTATCATGGCGAATGGCATATTTGCTCAATCTGAATGTAGGGTTCTGTGACAAGGCGGAGCCCAATCTTGTTTCAATATTGTGAGGGGCTGCTGCATCCCAAACATGTCCAAAAAGCTTGAGGTGGGTGTTGCGGGCTGAGTTGCACCGACAGTTCGTTTGCAAACAACTTGCAAAACACAAAGTCGAGGCGTTTTAGGTGGCGAATTTGTTACAGAAAGATCGGCCAACCAAACTTGCTTTTTTGTTCCCCAATAGCCATGCTATGGGGTCTTGCAACACTAATAGGCGGACGGGCGCCGTCGGGTCACCGTCAGAGCTGGTGGGCGGATGGTGTCCCGGTCATGTTTTGATGGCGTCCGGGTCATGTGATGCTGGTGTCCCGGTCATGTTTTGATGGTGTCCCGATCATGTTTTGATTGTGACCCAGTCATGTTGTGATGGTGTCCCGGTCCTGTTTTGATGGTGTCCCGGTCCTGTTTTGATGGTGTCCCGGTCATGTTTTGATGGTGTCCCGGTCATGTTGTGATGGTGTCCCGGTCATGTTTTGATGGTGTCCCGGTCATGTGATGGTGTCCCGGTCATGTTGTGATGGTGTCCCGGTCATG